GGGCAGAGAGGCGGGGCTGGAGAGGGAGGGGCGGGGCTGGAGGAGAGGCGGGGCTGGAGAGGGCGAGGCGGAGCTGGGACTTAGAAGGTGTTGGGTTGGAGTACCGAGATGAGTCGGCAGAGGAGGGAGGGGCTGGGTCTGGAGCCGCATGGGCCAGCCGGGGAGGGGGCGGGACGGGAGGGCGGGAATCTATTTTTCTTGAGCTTTCAGCTGCTACCGGCAGCTGAAGACCCGGTCTCCGGTTGCAGTGTTAGGGCGTCGGAAGCGCCTGAGGCTAGCGCAGTGGAAATGGTTGGCTCTAAGAGACCTGGGACGTGAGCAGAGGAAAGGAGATGGATGGAATAGAGAGAAGAGCAGTAAAGAAGAGCCTTGCGTAGAATGCCATTCAGCCACACACTTACTGTGTGCAAACGTGTGCCAGAATACGCTTACTCCTTTGCAGGGTACGGGACCTGTATGTATATAAAGCCTTACCCAGATAGTACCCGGATGTTCTAGGCCCACCACCGCGATAGTTTCCCAGAATTGAAGTACACAGTGTAGTGCAGGGGAGAGTCTGCTAGGGCTGTAGACTCTTATCACTCGCTTCATTTTCACAAGATGAGAAAATATATATACGTTTAAAAAAAAAGCCCCTCTTGCTTGCCACCAGGTTGCTGATCAAATGCTTGGCAAATACTGAAAGCCAGGAACTTTGGTTATAATGTGATAAAAAATTTCATGCAGCATTTTTATGGTGGGTCGAATGGACATATAAAACTATGTTAAGTTATCTTGGTAAAAGTATCTAAATGCATCGATTGCCGTTTGCCTGCATTTCTGTTGTAAAACGGAACAAAAGCAGAACAAGATTAACAAATATATATTGTGTGGGAATAATCCTATGAGATTATTTGTGACTTGTTTCAACAAAACTTTTAACAGTTCACTGAGAATGAAAAAGGCTTAAGGAAAAGAACCAGATATGGTATGTTTATTAATAACAGGGAGACCCCGTTTTGAACGGATCAAGTCCTGGAAAGTTTGTCAGTGATTCTAAAGTTCATCTGTGAGAATAACCAGCAAGAGAGCAAAGAAAATAATGTTTAACAAGGGGCCACCAATACTACCAAATATTATACCACATTATAAGCTCAAAACCTAAAACATTCTGGTCACTTGGACGTAATAGATAAATCAACTGATAGAATATATAGCCCAGAAAATGAACCTACTGCTGTAATCTATGATAAATACAATAAAAATGTTAATGGTATTGTTACTGTGGTGAAATTAGGGGAGATTTTTTTTTCTGTCTTCATTTATTCAGTAATCCATTACTCCAAAAAGTATTTATTTCCTATGTGCTGGGTGCCGTTCTGAGAAATGGGGATATAACAGTGAACAAAGCAGATAGAAATTTCTGCTCTCATGGAGTTTACGTTCCAGCTGGGT